ATCAAGATCTCTCCAGAGCATTCTGAAATATGGGCGGTCTTCCATAGGAATTTCTATCTGAAGATACATTTCTTTAATGTCACAAGCAACAGCTACAGGGTTACGACGGAATCTCATCAGAACATTGAACAGATCTTGCTGCAATTTCGGGCCAGCATGGATAACATCGTTCAGAGAAATCCCATCATGTTTAGCTGAGCAATCAAAAACTATGCGAACTTTGGTTGTAGACTTATCCATTCTAACAATGGGAAAATGAGGCAGGTACCAAGCTCCAGGCAGTTCTTTGGCTGGATCAATCTTTCGGAGGTAGCCTTTCTTCAAGTATGCTTCGATAGTGCTTTGGTACTTTTCACCGACGGTCGGATTCTTCATTAGATTTTTCTCAGTAGAACGCAGGCGTGTGATAGCCATAGTCCGGTTGTTTGGCAACTGTAGTTGTGCTTTCTTCCACGGTGTTCCGACTTGATATCTTCCATCAACAATCCGCATCGACTCTCCAACTTTACTAAGGGCTGACTTTTCCTCTTGTGTTAGTATCTTTGTATTCACCTCGGTTCGTCCACGTTCAATCTCCCAAAAATTTCTTAATGTTTCGTCCAGGTTACAGCAGTCGGGATTGGCGAAGATTGTTCGAAGAAGTGTTCTCATCACATGTGATCTCACGATTGATTTTCCATTCTTCTCTGGGGGTCCTATACAGGTCCATCCGAGTGGTCCCCGTCGTGCCACTGGCTCGTCTTGCGATCCTTGAAAATCAACTACGGAAAAGTGTAATTCTGGATTATCCACTCCAATCAACAGGTCAACGAATGTCTTGTTGCACGGACGTAAGTGTGGCCAATCCTTCTGGTATTGGTTCCAATCTACTACACGGTAGTTCCCAGTAACTTCATGTGGGCAAGTTATAACATTAATTTCTTTCGAAAACTGACGATCTGTACTCTCAATCTCGACTTGCAAAGGTATGGATTTAAAGGTCTCCACTGCATCATTCAACACATGCACTTGCACATCTTGCCATTTACCGCTTAACCCAAGAAATCCGGCAACTTCTTCGTTTAGGAAGGTTTCGTTCGAAGCATCATCCAGTACTGCGTTTACCTTAATTCTCTTTCCATTTGCTTTTATCCATACAGAGATTGTTCTCAGAGAATGCATCTGTACTTTATGGTTAGATTCACCAGTTGTCGTGGTAACCACTCTCGCTTCATCCATTACCCCTTCCCATGGGGATTTGAACTCGACCTTTTCCTCTGGAAGGTTTGGTCTGCTGCTTTTGTGTTCTGGGTCATGAAGCAATCGATGATGTGTAAGTTGACACCCACCTATGTTGCACTGGCGTGACCTTCGACAATCTTTACCATGGTGGTCAGTGGCAAGGCATCGAAAACATCACTGTTTCTCTTTAGCAGTTTTCCAGCGATCTAATACTGGTCTTTGTTGAAACTGGTGGCAACTCCAGATACCATGCCCAGTACGACCACAAAATACACAAGGCGGCTTTGTATCCACTGCGTTTCCCGACATATTTGGTTGGTATGACTCATAGCTTCCCTGCTTTCCAGTACGGTATGACCGAAATCTTGGCTTTTCACCCTTGTTTTGGTATCCCTTTGACTCAGCATATTTCTGCTCCAGACCATACGCCATTTCTGCAGCTTCCACTTTAATAGTCACCTCTTCCTTCAACCAGTCACACAAGCATATAACAGACTGTTCCTTGCTGTGAGTGCTTAACCATCGACTATAACTTTCCAACTGTCGATCCGATAATTTCTTCACAAGCTGTCGATGCAAAGTTCCTTCTCCTAATTCTGATTCTCGATTCTCAGCTCTCAATTTCGCAACTGTCACCCTAACTAGGTCAGCAAACTTTTCAAAGGCATTAACATCATTGTTACGCATAGTCGGCATATTCTTCAATTCATCCATGTAACCTCTCAATTGACGTCTCTGCCCACCAAATTTCGACTGAATTATTTCTTTCGCTTCATCATACTCGGGTGCTGATATTCCTAAACCACGAATCGCTTCCAAAGCTCGACCAGACAAACTCTGTCGCAATCTTGCCATCTTTAGATGCACTGGCTCGTTCGATTTGTCGACTAAACTTTCAAATAGGCTCCAAAATTCTTCAAACTTTGCTTTATTTCCATCGTAGTCAGGTACTCTTAGTGGTTTTAAATGGCGGTTTAGAACTGAACCTCCCGTGTACGATGGTGTATGTGTTGGACTTAATGAACTCGATTGATTCTGCTCCACTGTTTGCTGTGTCATACTAGTTCCTATTGCGCCTTGATCGATTGCGCCTTGCACTGCTTGTTGTTCAGTGTTACTGGTCATTGTGGGTTGTGCCTGTCCTTCGTTCATCAAATTACTCACAGTAGAACTGGTACCATTAGTTACCTCGTCATTATCATTGTCTTGACTGACTGTAGTGTTGCTTTCAAAACATCCTGAGATCAGACTGTCCTGTGCCTTTTCGATCGCTTGTTGACATTCCAGTTCTAGTTCATTTGATTCCTTCATTAACGCCTTTTGATTTGCACCGTCTTTTTCCCCCAAGTAATAAACAGACAATTCATCCATAATATTCTGTGTCTCTTCTAGTGACGACCACAAATCCTCTACTCTATGCTCAATCTCTTCTTTGTTTAACGTTGCTTTTGACACACTAAATGATTTTTCAAGTTGATGTCTTACTTTTGTTGTATCCCGTTTACTTGCACGTTTGCGACGACCTAATTCCAGGGAAATATGAAGGCTTTTCATGCCCTCATCAACAGTGGATTGCTCCACACTGCTTTGAATCGGTTCTGACTCATCCCCTGACATTGTTAATAGTCACACAATTTAAAATATTAGTAAAGTTATTGTTATAACAAACGACCAGATTATTTTATTTTCAACGATATAGGTAGAATGTTACTCCTCTAATGTATGTCTTTCGAAAATTCCTGTTTACCAATATTATTATGTAGAAAATTTGGCATAAATCATGCCTCAAGCATCAAACCTGAATATATTGCATAAATTAGCATATATTATGCAATACGATCCCAAACGTATTTTAATACAAAGGCCTGAAAATTCACATTTTTACGACAAATATTCAAAGTTTATAGTATTCCAGTTTCTTTTACTTAGCTGCTGCCACAAATAGTCGATAATGCCAACAAAGACACGAACGTTCAAGCGATAGATAGACGATAACCCGCAATAATAACACCAAAACTGTCACGACGAAATATTCGCACGCAAATTTCAACGAAGTATACACGTAAATTAGACGCCAAATTCTTTTATTCGTCCTGCAGGATCGCCAAATGTTTAGTAGACGATAGCTCCACTCGGTATGATAATAAAGAATTTAATAACAAACTATAACCCAGAAAATAACACTCAAAATAACACTTTCGTTCTTCGACATATATATATAAACTATTTTACGATACGTTTTTGAACCACGAACACGCTCTCGTCCCAGTACTTTTGCTCGTCCAAAACACTAATTATTTTAATTATGAATGTTAAATGTAAACAATATATATAGTAAAAGTTGTCCACTCCCCTTAACACAAGTTGTTTTGATTGCTAAACTAACTGTCAAAATATTGGCATATACAGATGAGTCTGTGAATTTATTAGTTGTCTTATATATAAAAAAGGTATTCTACTCACTCTCGTCGTATATGACTGCTCCTATACGACTCGAGTTCGCAGAATAACTGTTAATTATACTGTACATGCATACAATTCATTCCTTGATTTTTTAAAGAGAATGAAGCCGAGGACTCAAATTTGTCTCTAGGGTGAAGACCTTAAGTGTATAGTGCTTCGGAAATCCGTAGCATGGCATCTCCGCTAAATGGTAGTTTAATAAAAATGTATCACTAATTACAAAGCAATTTGACCATGACCACTACTCCTTCTCGGCTGGTAAAATGACAGCAGTGTATAGGTTTGATAACCTTAGTTTTAACACTGCTGGTTTTATAAACTTTTGGCATACATAGTGCCTGTTACATTATGTTGCACTGCTCAATACTGGACTGCTCAAAAATTATGCAATAATGTAGCACACAACATATTAACAAAACGTATGCCAAGCTACTAGAAAGAAAGTGGATTTGACAGACTATTTTCTTTCCAATATTTGTAGGGTTTTACATTCAGATTAAAGGTTGGGCGGAGGAATTTCTAGCAGATGGTATATTTTGTATCTGGTTAGCACATAAACCTGTTGTTTGTCTTTCCAAACCAGAATATGTCGAGGTACGGTGCGTTTTAATTAATAGAACTATTCATAATAATGATGACATTGTAAGGGTGGGATATCCTGCGTGGCAGACGATCAGCCCGCGGCGGAACACCTACATGAAGAAGGGGCGAAAAAAGGAAGCCCGGGGACGGCCTTTCTCCACTGACCGTCTGCCAGGCAGGCTATCCTTATAGGGTGTGATTGGCTGTGAACGAGTATTATTCCCCATCTATCAAAGGGTTCCGAAGGGCAGTTGCCCCACCTCCCCCGCCCCCCCCCAAAAAAAAAATAAAATAGAAATCCAAGGAAATTCCAGCAACTGGAAAATCAAGATGTACTGTATATGAGCAAACTTGTCAAAAAGTCTGTTAAATTGATGTTATTTATTACAATTTATGTAAACATTGGGCGATTTTAAAAGATTACTGAACCTCCAGAAACAATTGACTAATGATAATTGTGTGCTAATCCTTATTAGTATATATATGTTATTTCCCGGCTGCGAGGTCCGGATGAGAAAAACTGTGCCCGAGGTCTTGAAAACGGCCCGAGCCCGAAGGGCGAGGGACGTTTTCAAGACCGAGGGCACAGTTTTTCTCATCCGGACCGACGCTGCCGGTAAATAACGTGTTTATTTTTATCAGATGTAAAAATTAAATTGATTAAAATTCCAGTGTTGCTTGCGAACTAATTTGAGATCAGTGCAGTTGTGTATTTTCAAAGCGAGGCTGACAAAAATTGAAATTTGAAAAGTTGAATGATATAAAACACGATACGAAAACTCGAGAAAACTGGCAAGAAACACACAAAAAGACGTATAGTTTCAGTAAAAATGTACATGCTTTTTCATGAATATGGTATAGAAGAGAAGCTTTGGAATAAAAACTTTTATGCCTGGCGTTTTGGCTTTGGCTTTGACAAAATCAGTTGCTCCTGACAACGACAAGTTCATGTTCAGATCAGATCAAAAACATATAAAAATGAATCTGTTTTGATTTAATCAACGTTTTTCTACTAAAAGGTCAATGAAAAGGGTATGTTGTTTTTATATTTTTGTATTTTTTCTTGTCGTTTCACGATAATATGCTTGAAAAAATTGTTTTTAATTTAAACACAAACTTTTACTTTGTTTACAACATTTATATCAGTGAAGAATGTATGACACAAATGGGTAAAGAATATATTCGTGACTTGTTTTCACTGCTGCAAATAAAACTTTTTTAAATGGGAAAACATTTATTTTACAATAACTGTTTAAGCTGTAATTTTTTCGCTTTTAAGTGGCCGAATACATGAGCATTTAAAAAATATGTAGTTTTCTCGACGTAACTTTTATACATGTCGAATAATTTTCCGACTTTCAGTCGCATTTCTATCAAAATATTGTCAATTCTGGTGAACATCGTGCTTAGTATGAAGCCTTTAGGGCTTGATGCAATTCATTATTGTATTCTGACTATCGTTAGGCTATGTTTTTCAAACGTTTTTGGCAGATTTTTTCTTTTAAAAAATTGTTTCACTCCTCAGTTTTTGTCGCGAAAGCCAGAGCGGGCAGTTGCATTTCACAGCGGGCAGTTGCGTTTCAGAGCGGGCCGGATGCAAAAAACCGGCCCGCTCTGAAAGGCTCTCAGCCAATCAGATTGCTTCATTTTCACTGATAAAAAATAAATATGTATATTAAGTATCATATTCATTTTACTGGAAATACATATTTTAACAAATGAAGTATTTGAACAAATGAAATATGACAAAAAGAATTTAGCGTGTAGTATTTATATAGACGAATGACCTTTGGAAATTTTGAAAGTATTGCAAATTAAATTTTTCTGTTAATTAATAAGTTTCTGCTAATTATTTTGCCAACATGCCAAGTTTTACTTTCTTCAAATGTTATCGGTATGATTTCTCCGATCAACTTGAAGAAAAAGGAAAACAATTAACTAGTTGACTCCTTCAATCCATGGAAAGAATTCTGAAAATTTCGCTGCTTTATATGACATGTTCTATTTAGGTTAATTATCAATTAATTCGAGAAGTACTCGTTTTGTTTATGCCAATGCTATTTTTCTAAAAATACAAAAGAGAATCTGCGGGTCTTTAAACTTTTGCAGTGTCTAGTATAAAATTTTGGAACAAAATATCTAATATTGACATCAGAAAGGAAAATCATGTGGATAACATTTTTAAGGATCAACAAGTTTTACATAATTTGAACGTTTAATAACTTCTATCCAGTTCTATTTGTATATACAGTAGATGTATTATTATTTTAGCTAATTCTATAGTTTTTACTGAATTATGATATATGCATGTAGAGTATAATTTATGAGTGCCACAAATAGTTATTGGCCATTTGATATTTTAAATAGCAATTTTTAATGGTACTCCCTTGAAATCATTATATATTAGTATAGCCGTATAGGTAATCATGCGATGGCGAGTGATGTTTGGAAATTCTGCCAAAATTGGACGAGCCGCCAGGTCGAGCCCAATTTGGCAAATTTCCAAACATCACGAGTACTATTAATCCCTAATTGTACGAGCAACATCGTATGATTACTTGTTTATTATTAGCATGACAAAATTGGATACGTACTTCTTTATGTCAACATCATATTCTCTCGCCAAAGCCAAGTCCTGCCAGACATTCAAACAAAATTTGGTGCTTTTGTTTGTATTTTCATTTAGTTCTTTTGTTAAAGCAAAATTTGGTGCTTTTGTTCGTATTTTCATCTAGTTCCTCCACTGCAATTTCATTTCACGCTTGAGTTTAAAATACGTTTCCGCCATTTTGTTTGTTTTGGGAAAATCATTAATTGTACTGCAGTACAATTAATGATGGTAATAGAACGAATAGGAGTGCTATTAATGCCATAATCATACGAGTGATTACAAAATCAACCGACCGTGTAGCGGGAGGTTGATTTGTTAATCACGAGTATGAATATGGCATTAATAGTACGACTTAATTCATTCTATTACTTATTAATTATTTATCTTCTGTAATCAAACTGTTTAAAGGGGAAAAGCACAAAAATACAATTTGTTGAAATTCAATATAATTATTAAATTTTTGTCACGACAATTCTTAGTGAAATAGCACAATCTTGAATTAAATTTATCATAAAAATTAACATATTATTAACTTCCGGGTATTATTTCCGGTATAATCACATGACAACATTGTTTGAATTATTCAATATTCAACACACAATTGGGAAGCCATGTTTGTATGTTTATAACGTGTTCAAAATAGTGAAGTTCTTTAGTTCATTTTAATCTGAATATAACTCCTGGTTGTGTCTAGTTTGGTGTCTTCTGCTGGAAGAACAGGTAGGTCATTTTCGTCAGAAAATATATAATTTAACAGCCCTAGAAAGCGAGGTCGGTATTCGGCAATGCCGACCTATTAAATGCCGACCTATCAACCTCCCAGGTCGGCAATGTTTTGCCGAACTTAATTCAACCAAAGTAAGAAACATTTTTGGTGCTGATAGCTGTTAAAAAGTCGGCGATTATAGAATTCGATACACTTTGGTGTAAGGTTTAAGAATTAACGGGTATTATGATATAATTTAGGTAAGACTCTAAAAGAAAAGCCTTCGTGACATTTATACTTTTCAATGATTCGTAAATACGTGATTACTAGTGCAGGCTACTAGTGCTCCAAAATATGGAAACAGATTTAAAAAAATGCCGAGATGTGCCAAGCTAGGTCACATTTAGGTCGGCATATTTTTTCCGACCTCAATTTTGCCGGTATTCGAGGGCTGATTTAAAAATTAAAAGGTCAAAATTTTCAAAATTTGTGAATTCCTCCATTTTGAAATTTTTTACAGCAACAAAGAAAATAAAATTCAAAGTTTGTATCCTGAATGCTGATTGGCTAGTTGTAAATACTAGACTGATTTTCATTGGTTGTAGACAAGAGTGCGATTACAGCTCAGAAAAGGTGCGATTAATGCTCAAATCGCACTCCTGTAAACCAATGGAATTGCAGTATTTGCCACTGATTACATAAGATAAATAATTAATGAAATAATTGTACTCCTCTCAACCAATCAGCATCCAGTAATTTTGTCATGCTAATAATAAG